TACAGTGGAGTAGCACTAGCTTGGACATTGCATTGCTTGTACCTTGGTGTGTTTGAATCTTTTATGGTTCTGAAGATTTGCTTACGGATGAAAAATATTAAAAATCGTCCGTGCATATATGTAAATATACTTTTATAAACGCTTTGAAGTATAGAAATTTTTAATATTAAAAAATAAATAAAATAATTTTTTTGTATATATGTAAATGGTGTTCAAGGCACATTGACCCACCTGTACAAAAATCGTGGCGCGTCATGGACAAAAATTTTACAATTTCGGACCGAAAAATGTGAAAACGAGCTAAGTTGCCACGTTACATCTGTGAACTTCCGATAAAACCACATATGTTTGTGATTTTAGAAGTTTTGATTTTATTAAAAAAAAATAATGTATTTTCCTGCAGAAAAGGTACACTTTTATTTAATGTTTATTAAAATGACACTTTAACATACTACTTAATGATTGAAATATAGGTATGGAACAGAGAAATAGAGTCTTTTGTCAAAAATTACCAAAAATTACCAAAAATTGCCAAGATTCGAGATAACTTATTTTACTGGTTATAGAGAAATAATTGCCACTTTTCACTTGGCTGGCCGAGATTTCTTCATTTTAAGATTTTAGAATTTTTGTGTCGGATTGACAAAGTTGCGCTTGTTGGTGATGAATTTGCGGGGAGATGTGCTGCGGTTGTTTTTATGAATGAATTTACTTGGCCTTGAGAAATATGCGCATGCGTTTATGAATGAAATATTTAGTTATTGTTGTATTTGAGTATACGTGTAATTATGTATATATATATGTGCGTAGTATTTAGGCAGCAATATGCACGTATGTATGTACTTATATATGCATGTAAAAACGTTGTCAATTAATGTAGCATGTACATAGAGATATATGTATGCGTGGGAAATGCATTTTCATAAGACTCCAAAACTATTGGGGCATTTTCGTAGACGAAATAAAGTCGACTCTTAAGTTAAAGTTTGTCAGCCCCAAATAAGAAGAAAGTTAGTATGTACTTACATATATGTAATATTATGCGCATGTGCAAGAACGTTATCAGTACATATGTATATACATACATTCAGATGCGATCAACTAATTAGCAACGAAATTCAATATGATATTGTTGCAAATTATGTTTATTTATTTTTAATGATTTTCATTTAAAATATACATAATTCAATCTGTGACAAAAACCACAATAATAAAAGTTTAGAGGCTTGCACAAATTGCAAAAAAATGAATCAACCTTCAAGAAACGGTCATCCAAATTTTTTATTTGAATATTTAATATATTTTCGGGTATGCAGTATTGTAGTCCATTCAATTATATTATAAGAAAGTGCAAGTTTCAAGTTGTTAAAAATTACCGTTGATCTATTATATTTTTATGTTGGGGTGTTGCTGTTTATTTTTCATACAAAAAAAAAATTGGTTCATGTGTTATATGGAAGAAAATGCGAACACCCTCCACAAAAAAAAAAATTCTAAGAAATCAACGGTAATTTTTAACGACTAGAAACTTGGACTTTAGTGTACTTGATTGAATGGACTACAAAGCTGCATACCCGAAAATTTTCTAAATATTGTAACTAAAAATTCTTAAATTTTTATAACAATTTTTTGAAGTTTGATTAATTATTTTGCAAATTGTGCAAGCTTTTAAACTTTTATTATTGTGGTTTCTGTTATAGATTGAATTATATTTTAAAGGAAATTATTAAAAATAAATAAAGAAACATAATTTGTAAACAATATCATTTTGAATTTCGTTGCTAATTAATTGATCGCATCTGTATGTACTACAAGCATCCATATGCGCATGCCTGGGAAATGGATTTGCATTTTACTCCAGAACTATTATTTACAAATAATATCTACGAGTATTGCAGTAAAAGTCAAAACAACTTTGAAGTTAACAAACACATTGCTTT